ACAGATGGCCAGCCACCCATCGCCCTCCTGTGGCGGCCAGAGCCCCCAGCACGGCCCACCCAGCAGGTGGCCTGGGAGGCGGGTGCCCAGGTCGTGTATTTGAGAGGCTGACTGCGGACCTATCAGTGGGCCCTGAGGGGAGGGGGCGCTGCACCCCAAGGGAGCCAGCTCTGTACCCACGGGCCGAGATCCAGGCACTTCAGCCTGGAGGGCAGCGAGGTGCCAACTGCGCCCCGCCCTGGGCCCGGACGCCACTTGGGGGGCACTCGGCAGGGTAAGGCTCAGCAAGGCTGACTTCTGGGAAAAGCCCACTGATGTCTTCAACCATTCATCAGTGAGCACCTACTGTGGGTCTGGCAGTGGGTGGGTACACAGCAGGGACAGAGAGCCCCGGGCTCTGGACCCTGCCTCATGGAGCACACAGACAAAGGCTGCGTCAGACACAACCCCCCTCCCACGTGCCAAACGGCCTCCCAACAGTAACAAAGACGATCACAGTCAGTCATGCAATTCTGGGAAAGGTTGCACGTCCCGCAGAGCCCAGGACAGAGCTCAGAGCCACATCTGGACGCCGAGAGGATGCCCAGCCCTCTACCGCTGGGCCCAGGAGGCAGGGCCATTGGGGAGGGGCCCTATCCTTAGGTTCCCAGCCCAAATCCCCCAGCTGTGGGGACTGGGGATGCCGGTGGGCTTCCGGGAGGCTCAGAAACACCCCAGCGGGCACGCCCTGAAGATCAGCAGGGCCGAGCCAGGCAGGAGGAAACAGGCTCCCCAAACAGCGCGGGGCCAGGCTAGGAGCACAGAGAGTAAAGATGAGTATGTGCCAGCCCCGGTCCCCCAGGAGCCCATGGTCTGACAGACACAGACGGCCATTTGGTGACAGCCACGCACAGGGGCGGCGGGTCTAAGGGCAGGAGATGCCTGGCAGGGACACTTCTTGGGACAGAACCGAGCAGATGTCTGCAGGATGCATCGGGCTCAGACAGACAAGGAGAAGAAGGCCGGCAGAGGGAACCGCGGAGGGGGGAGGCTGGGCGGAGCTGAGCACAGGCAAGGGCAGGGCCAGAAGACCTCGGCCTCATCCGGAGTGTGAGGAGGCGGGCGAGGAGGGAGGCTGGGGAGGTGGACGGGCCCCAGGTTAGGCCCAGACGTGTCCTGGAGCTTCACACACACGTGCACTTGACCTGCCAACACCTTGAGAGCTGGGTGCTCTTATCTCCCTGGACAGAAGAAACCGAGGCACAAAGAGACTAAGAAACTTGCTCAAGGCCACTAGGCTAATACACTGATCGAGCCAGGATTTAACCTCCCACCACCACCACCACCACCACCACCAAGCCCAGACCTTAATGCCTCTCGGGCAATAGGGAGCCACGGGAGGTTACAGAGTGTGGGAGTGGCTGGGTTCTCGGTGTGGGGCTGGGCAGAAAAGGGGTGGAGGACGAGGCTGGGGGTGGGGTCCCGGCACAGCCCTGACCCACTGCAGGAAGGAACAGCACAGAGACCCCCGAGCCAGGCCGTACTCGGGGCCCTGCTGCAATGGAGGCAGATGTGCCAGCCCCAGATGCGGGGGTCGGAGAGCCTCCTCCAGCAGGTGGCTCCCCCCCTTCCTCATGGGGACAGGTGGCCAACAGGGCCCACTGCCCTGCCCAAGCCTGGCCAGCGTCCCTTCCTCCCCAATCCCCAGAGCCCCTGCCTCCGTCCAAAGGCCAGGCCTTCGGGCTGCTCGGAAATGCGGGTGGCATTGGTGAGGCTCTGCCCGGACACCCCACTTCAGATGCCCCCGCTTCACCTTTGCTGGGGGAGGCTGGCCCCAGTCGTTCCACCGTTCCGTTTTGTGGCTTACCTGCAGGTGAAATATCCAGAGAGCAGCCGTTCTCCTGCGAAGCCCCCCGTTCCAGAGCGCGGGGGGCCACAGGGGAGCAGGAGGCGGGCGGGCGTCGGCGGGGGAGCCTGCGGCGCCCCGGGGCCCGGCCGGGCAGAGACACGGCTGGGTCTGCGAGAGTAACAGAACACGAAATTCATATTAATTTTCTGTGTAGCCAGGATTTGAATTTCAAATCAGGCCCCAAGTTGATTCAGATTGACTGCAGCCGGTCTCCCAGAACCCGTCAATCGGCGCCCAGCCACTCGGGCAGCCAGGAGACTTTCTCAGAGGGGCCTAGCGCCTCCAGCCGGGCGCAGGGGCTTCGCACCCAACAGGCAGGCTGACCCGCCCCAGGCTCTGCCTCCAGGGGCCAGGTCCAGACCGTCCCCTGGCTTTCCATGCCAGCATCCCCCCAAAATCTCCACTTGGTGGGGGGGGGGCGGGGGTTTGTTCGGCTTTGCTGAGATAGGACCGACAAAACGTAAGATACTTAAAGCATACGCTATGATGACTGGACACGCAGATCCACTGTGGAAGGGCACCCCAACTAACTAACCAGCTCATCAATCACCTCCCCTTTTCACGGTGTGTGTGTGTGAACACGTAAGCTCTACACTCAGCAAATATCAGTGGTACAATATGATGTCACAACAGTGTGCTCAGCTATAATCACCATTTTTTAAAAGTTTTTTTTAATGTTTATTTATTTCTGAGAGAGAGAGACAGAGTGTAAGTAGGGGAGGGGCAGAGAGAGGGAGACACAGAATCCGAGGCAGGCTCCAGGCTCCGAGCAGTCGGCACAGAGCCCGACGCGGGGCTCGAACCCACAAACCGTGAGGTCATGACCTGAGCCGAAGTGGGATGCTCAACCGAATGAGCCACCCAGGCGCCCCTATGATCATTTTTTGTAGTAGCTCCTCAGGCCTCATTCATCTTACAGCTCACAGTTCGTGCCCTTGGACCACCGGCTCCCTACCCCCACCTCTGCCCCTGGCACCCACTAACTGAAGGCTCCCCCTGCACTGGGGCACCAAAGGCACGGTCACCCGTGACCTGTTCTTGGCACCCGCTACCCACGCGCTCACCTGCGGCAGGCTCCGCCTTCCGGAGCCTCATTTCCCTCACCTGGGAAATGGGACAACAGCTCCCGCTGGCTCTGCAGAGGATCTAAGAAGCATTCCATTCACTCGGCAACACTCTGCAACCATTTAGCGCCCCCCAGGTTCCAGACCCTCTCCTTGGGGCAGGGGCAGAGGTGGACACCTCAGTGAACAAAACAGACCAAACTCCCTGCCCCCAGGATGCTGAGGTCCCAGGGCCGTGGTTCTCAACCG